GATATGTCATTTTCGGGTCAGAACATAGATAAGCGTGATCAACTTTGCAGAGAGTTGTCTTTTTCTGGTCAAAGCATTAAGAGAGGTGGGGGACATTGCAGTGATATGTCATTTTTGGGTCAGAACATGGATAAGCGTGATCAACTTTGCAGAGAGAAGTCATTTTCTGGTCAAAGCATTTAGAGATGTGAGGGCTTTTGCAGAGAGTGATCATTTCGGGTTAAACCATGGAAAGGGGAGAGGGTCTTTCACTATAAAAGAAGCTATGATATTATAGTGACAACACCCTAACATTTATATTCTATACACTAAAGCTTTATCAAAACCAACTTCTTGTAAGAATGTCGATCCGTTCATCTTCCTACAACCATGATGAAGATGTTCTTTTATGTCAAGTTTATATGGATATTTCTCAGGACCCAATTATTGGGGTATACCAATCATCTGATCGATTTTGGTATCGTGTAGAAAATGCTTTCGATGAAGGACGACTTGAGCATTGGGAGGTTCGTAGCAAAAGATCTATGCAAGCACGGATTCAAACAATTGAAAAGGCAGCCAAGAGGCTCCATGCATGCATAAAAGCAGTAGAAGATATGCATCAGAGTGGTGCATCAAATGAAGATACAGTGAGTACTCAAATATTGTTGTATTTTTTATTTATTAAATTTATTATTTATATTAGCTATGATTAATTGTTTATGAAAAATTGTAGATGGTCAAAGCAAAAGTTTTGTTCAAGGAAGATTCCAAATTCAAATCCGGATGGAAATATGATCATGTTTGGGATATTATCAAAAACTTTGAAAAATTTAAAGAGCTTTGAGGAGCAAGAAAAAACAATCTGGTTGTTATCCATCTTCGGAGTCAGAAAATCCAACTCCCGAGTCTGCCCGACAAGAATCTGCAGGTATTTGTTCATTTTCTATAAATTTAAGCGACTCGGATCAATTTCCTACTGGTTCTCCATCTGAAAGACCTATCGGGGTCAAGAAAGCCAAACTAAAAAGAAAGGTAAATGAGGATTCATCATCGCTCATCAACGCGATGAAGGAAGCAAACAAAAGGCTTGTTGATGAGATGAAAAATGCAAACGACCAAATAAAACACCAAATGGAGATGCGCAATAGATCCCACGCTTTAAAAGAAATGAGGGAAGAAAATAAAATTCTGTTTCAAGATGTCAGTTCCATTGAAGATCCTAGAGTTCGAGCGTACGTTGAAGCTGAAAATGCACGAATCTTGGAGAAAAGAGCTCAACAAGTCCAACCGGATCCATATCCAACCAATGCATTTGGTCAATTTTTCAATGATCTTGGAGAAGGCAGTGGCAACTTACCAGATTACTAAGTATTCGTGCTTGTTTTTAGTTGTTAGGTTTATGATTTATTTTTATTTTAGTACCGTGTGATGTTTTATTTTTATTTCAGTACTAGTTATTGAAATGTTTTTCCTTAAACCGTGATCTATCATGTACTAGTGTTATTTCAATATGTATTCGTAATGTTTTTGTTATTTAATGCAGTGTTTTCTTTTATTGTTAATTAAAAATACCATAAATAATATGCATATTTACATTATTATTGTGAAATATATAAAATTAAATGATAGATATAATATTTATTATTTAAATATCATACTATCTAATCATTATGAAATTAATTTTCTTATTATTTTACATTATTATTATTATTTTAAATTAATTATAAGTATTATCATTAATTTAATTATCATATAATCTAAATTAAATGAAGGGACTAAAATATAAAGTAAATAAATATATATTATCATTGTTAATATAAAGTGATAATATTTTGTAAATATAAAGCAAATAGATATATTATATGAAATATAAGAAACACAAGGACCAAAATGAAATTACAAAAATATTTTGCAGTATGGAACAGTAGAAACGCATATATGCGTTCTTTGGAGAGAGAAAAGGGCCCAATAGGCATTTTGCGATTGAAATTGGTGTTCGGTTGGAGTAAAATTTTCATCCCATTATGCGTTTGCAGCTCGATTGGAGTTGGTCTAAGGACACTTCTTCCCAAGTTCCCAACACACATCTATTTCCATAATCCTCAGATAACAACAGTAACACAGAAATCATTCATTCATTTACAATAACAGATCTAACAAAAATAGAATCATCAGTCCATACCAAACACCACCAAACCTAAAAAACCCTTCAAAATCAAAAGAAAGCAATCTACCAAAACTAACATATAAGGAAACAGAAGAACAAGATCTAAAGCTTCTACCAATATCATATTCATGAACCTCTTTATCACTTGAATACCAGTCTAATCAATCTTCATCGGCCGAGGGCTTAGAGGATCCAGCCTTTTTCGGGAGCAAAAGGTTGTGAATGTTGGGCATGACTCCACCATTGGCAATCGTGACATCACCAAGAAGCTTGCTGAGCTCCTCATCGTTCCTCACGGCCAATTGGATGTGCCGAGGCACGATCCTTGTCTTCTTGTTGTCCCTTGCTGCATTTCCAGCCAGCTCAAGAACCTGAGATTTATTAAAAATTATACAATTTTTAGATCATAAAATGAAGCTAATCCTAGAGACAAAAGGGGCCAGAGGATAATTCAATCAATCCTTAAACCAACAACTGACAAAGCTAGGTGACAATTCCGAAGAACGTGATTAAGATAAGGAAGAAGTTATCAACAAACTGAATCAAAAGAAAATTAATGAGCTTCAACAGTTGAAGAGAAAATTCTGATTTCAGGGGCAGTAACAAATTCAGAGAAATTAAGTAAGACTGGAGAAATCTATCACAACTGCTTGAAATCAAGAGTGAAATAAAATCATAGTAGATTCAAGAACAAATAAAAAAGATATTGCAAACAAACAAAATAGATTCGAATTGGCAGCATGTCGCAAAAAACCCTAGATTCGACGTGTGTGAAATTCGAAAATCAGATTTCAATTAGAGCAAGCCTTGGAATAATAAAAGCAAAAGAAGTACCTCTGCAGCCAGGTACTCCAGGACAGCGGCGAGATAAACCGGCGCTCCGGCGCCGACACGCTCGGCATACTTGCCGGCCTTCAGAAAACGGGCGATACGACCGACGGGAAACTGGAGCCCCGCCTTGCTGCTTCTCGATTGGGCCTTCTTTGCCGACCCGGACCCAAGTGTCTTGCCACGACCCGCCATTGCAATCGAGCAGAAAAGGTTGGTGGAGGTGAAGAGAGATAATGAATTTGGTAATGGAGTGCAGTTTCAGGCCGATTAGGTTATTATATAGGATTTGAGGGTTTGTGTGAAGGGACCAATGGCGTGATAGTACGCGGATCGTGGATGTGAACCGTTGATAAGGGAACCAATGGACGGACGGATCTTCCTGTTTGTGTTATTGCCGTCTAATGAGACCATTTTCATTTTGGTCACGTGCGCGAGGTTTTTGGAATTTGGATTTTTGTTGAGTTTTGGTCATTTTGAGTTTCTCGCCTCGCCGTGGACAAAGAGAGAGTGGGTTTCATAGGGCTGAGCATGGGACTCGGAGAATTCTAAATTAATTCAAAAACTGAACCGAAATCACATTGAATCGAAAAATAATCGTTGATCGTTTGACTTTCTCTGAATCGAATCGAATCAAAAAAATAATTGGTACAGTTCTAGAGATTTCACAAATATCCGTACCGAGAACCGAACCGTCATATATCGTACCGAACCGAAGAACCGAAATTAAGAACCGAATTATAACATTATATGTGTTATTAATATATTTCATGTCACCTTTGATCCTATACAATATAGTAATAATAACTATTAGGGTAAAATACTTTTTCCCATCTGAACTATCACGGTTTTGGTGCATCACCATATAAACTATTTTTTTTTACAAACCACCATATGAACTATACGGGTTTGTCAATGTGCCCCCTAAACCAGATATAAAAGTGGTTTTGACTGAAAAAGTTGTTTGGTCACCATATGTGCCCCATAAATCTTTTACAAACCACCATATGAACTATCACGGGTTTGTCAATATGCCCCCTAAACCACTTTTATATCCGGTTTAGGGGGCATAATGACAAACCCGTATAGTTTATATGGTGGTTTGAAAAAAAAAATAGTTTATATGATGATGCGCCAAAACCATGATAGTTCAGATGGGAAAAAATATTTTACCCTAACTATTAACATTCACTTAACTTTCATGTTTAGTAATACTTGATCTAGAATTAAATTTTTCCTATTATAAAATAATTATTTAAAATAATATGAAAGGTTAAAGAATATTTTTTTAGAAAAAATATTATATTTTGTTTGAATTTTAAATTTTCAATATTAGTTGCACAAATTTAGTCTTAACTAAAATTTAGAGTTACTTTTAAAGTTGATTTCAAAATAAAATTTTTAATATGAGGAAGTATTGATGAATGTTAGTTTTATTAAAGCATATAAACATTAAATAACTAAAATTTAGAGTTACTTCTAAAATTGATTTCAAAATAAAAACTTCAATATGATGAATTATTGATAAATGTTGTTTTTTAAGACATATAAAAATTAAAATATAACTAGGTAGTCATTAAAAAAAATCTAAAAAATAAGAAATCTCCGGAGATCCGAACCAAACCATACCGAACTGTACCGTCCTGATAGTCCCGAATACCGAACCGAACCAAAAAATAAAATTCTTCGAACTGAACCGAACCGAACTGACTTTTTGGTACGGTTTCGGAGATCGAATTTTGGGATCTCCGAACTTTGGTACGGTTCCGGAGATTTACCAATCTCCGAACTGTACCGACCCACGCTCACCCCTGCCATTTGCCATTGTTTCAGTTAACCGCTTCGGTAGTGGAGTCATCGTCGCTCATTTTGTATCTGTGATTTTCGATAAGTTCTTTTGGAGACGACTGTGATAGAGTTGGATACCAATATTCTCCCGGTTGTTAGTGATTGGGTGCCGCACGATCAGTTCTTTTGAAGTCGACTCCGACGGAGTTGGATACCAAGTTTCTCCCGATTGTTAGTGATTAGTTGAAGAGATGGTGTTGGTAAACCTCTCGTTTAGTCGTTGTCAACTATTTATTTGTTGAGTTTGAAGATTGGATTCAGCTCGTCGGCTTTAGATATGGGTAGCTATAGCCAATTATTTGCACTGTGGAGCTGTGAGTGCCTATATTTGAGTTTCATGCCATGGCGATCTGTTTTGTCTTCGTCTGGTTGTCCTGAAGACCGATACTTTTGGTGTATTGAGTCGAGCTTATGGCTTGTCGGGGAGGGCTTTAATTAGGCAATAAGGTTTTTTGCTAGTTTTTTTTTTTTTCTTTTGCTAGTTAGTTAGCTCGTGGTTATTAGTCTCTCTTGGTTGAGTATTTTAGCCTCATTTAGGGAGTAGTCTAGTTTTCTTTATGGAGTTTTGTCGTGCTTGTTTGTGAGTTTGTTTTAGGGTTAATCCTGTTGAGGGAAGATCTTATACGAAAAAAACTCTCTTGTGATTCGTTTCTTTTTATCACTTAATAAAAAGAATGATCCTTCTAAATTGGT